AATGTAATCGCGAGTGAAAGAGATTGGATGTTGCTGACGTGAGCGTGTTTGCAGTGCTTTAATCGATCACGGCAGTGATCTCTTTGAAATGGGCAATGAAACAGCGACATAGATGCGTGCGGGAACGAGTGCCAAAGAGATTGTTTTTTATTTCACGTCGCTACGTCGATTTATTCACGGGTGATAGCTGTGTAAAGCCGCGGTATCGACATCAGGGTCGCTATTCTGTACATGCCTCCTGACAACTGACGATACGTCTATTGTTAGTGTCTGTCACAATAACAAATCACTTTAGACAATAAACTAAGAAAAATATAATATTTTTGTAAAAAATTAACTTTTTAGAATAAAAAAAGAATTTAGAAGAAATTAAATACATTAAATTACATCCAAAAAAATTACGCGAATATTTGAAACAAACTAACCTCTTTTGCAACTTTTGCTTGACTAATTTATACAACCTTATAGAATTGTCTTTTAAAAATATGTTATCGTCACGTACAAGACGTCTTGTTAAAAATAACGACATTGCCATTTATAAGCGATAAGCGTTAATTTTTTATCATTATTACTGGTACGTAGTATTACAACGTTACTATTTCGTGAACAGATGTTGTTATTGTAGCAAGTCGATAATTGTCAGTTACACAGATATATATATATATATATATATATATATATATATATGTATATATATAGAACAGCGACCCAGGCGGCCTATTCTATAACTTTTAATAACAATACAGTTATTGTTATGTAATCACGTAGTTTTATTAAATATTATATTTGCGCAACGACAATATAACGATAACGATACATTAATTTATGATAAAATCCAATGGGAAAGCTTAATTTGGATTTGTAATGCAAAACGTCAGTTTTATCTTGAATTGTGACAAAGTTACAATTCAAAACAAGACAAAAGTAAGACGATAATAATGGAAACTTTACTGTGATTTAGATATGCAAGGTGAGTGATTCATATGACATTCCTGTTTATCACATATAGATAGTTGAAATATAAATACGAGAAAAATACGGAAAAAGAATGATCAGATTTGCTGGAAATAATATGTTACGCAAAATACAATATAAAAATTTGAGTGAAATTTTTAATAAAGTTGTTTCTGCGCAAATATAAAAGAAATTTTACATTATTCTCTTATGCGAATTTATTAATTCATTGAATACGCGCGGTATATTTGCTTCGTAAATGTAATTAAAAGTATTGAAAAACTTTCATCATTCGATTGTCTTACGTCGTAACAATTACGAAAGTCTATCTTTGCGATTAATGTTTTTCCCTAAATTAATTAATTGAACTACTCGCCAGGCTTTTTTGGTGGTAAAAAAAATTCATCCATGACTGACAGTCTCTAACCCGACGCCGTTGACATCGGATCTATAAGACTCGAGACAACTTCAAAGCATGATATCTTAAAGCTCACTTGCATCTGTGAGTTGACGCGTTGAATAGGGAGGGAGGGAGGGGGGAGAAGGAGAGGAGTATAGATTCTCCGCTTCAGTAATTTAAATAATTCGTCACCCTTAAGTAAATTAAATAACATGCACACCCGATGCTACTTATAGTTTTGTAATGGTGCCAATTTCAAATTTGGGTCTGTGAGACCCACGTCAACGGCACCAGGTTAACAACACCGCCTCGTCGACGGTATTGTCAGTTGGTGTACGGTTCAATCGCGCACAACTCGCGCCCTTCATCGCGTAGAAGCCGAACCCGCTGTGTAGGAACAGCCGCGAATCGATTTCCCCGTGCGCGTATAGCCGTGGTGCCGGATAACTTCCGACTTCGAAGTTCGCATAATAACGCGGATACTATCGTCCGACCGTAATTAACCGCGGCGCGGCGCTGAGGTTAATGAACAATGGGGCTTGCAATCGAGTTGCGCAACCTAACCCGATATCCTGACCCAACACACACGGCGCGGCCCGGCGTAAGACACGCCACGCGCACACTTATCCATCAAGCGCAGCCCGCGGCCGGCGACTGCCGGTGGCAGGTGTTGCTCGATGGTCATTGTTGACCGCGTGCACTTCGCCGCCCGGCCGCCCGCACGTCCCCTTCGCCCTTCGCCAGCTAGCCAGCAATCGTTCATTCAAGACGCCACGAGCGCAAACGTGTGAGAACGACGGAATCCTGGAGTGTCCGCGGTCTTCTTCACCGGATAGCGTGGTTCTCACGATCATGCTATCATCACTCTCGAAAGAGTAACCCAAAAAACACAGGTTTTCTTCGTCCATTTTGTGGTTCTTGAAATTCGAATCGAATTATGTGTTAAACAATGCTATATGATGGGACATTAATCTCAGAAAAATTTTAAGTTGAGTATAGGGATAGTTTTGGAGGAATACGGGGAGTCAAAATAGCCATATTATTAATATAGTCCAAGCACAATAGACGCAAAAAGAAAGTTAAAACTTCTTTGATAACAGTGGGGTTTTGACTAGAAGTAAGCAGAAAATTGTTTGCGATAAAAGTTGTTTGTCTTGAAATTCTTCACTAAAAAGATATATTTAATTTTTTTACAAAACTAATCTTTTTTAACCGGAAATCGCGTCTGAAAAAGTTTCTGAAAATATTCGCTCGATGATTTAGAGTGGAAAACTCACTTTATATGAATGCAAAATTACTTGAATTCGAGTGACTCAAGTGAGTCATTCTATTTTTCGAGCGAAAATTTTTAGCTTTATCATTTACTGCGTGATTATTCACTGAGTTTCTTTAATTAATATCTCGAAATTTATTGACAATATCGCAAAACGATATATATAGGACTTTTGTGTTAATCTCAACTCGTTTTACGAATATTGCGGAGACGAATCTGTGACATTCTATATATATCACACGATATATATTAGATTCAGATAGATACTTGCGTCGTGCGTAAATTTAATGGAGGCATTATTTGTTCCTAAAACAAATAATGCCTTCATTAGATACATTACGTATTCTGTGAACAAAAAGAGTGTTTGCAATAATGTTCCATTTTTTCCTTTACAATACGCCCGATTGTTACGCGAAAGGTTGCAAAAATGGAAAAACTGCTGAACGAAATAAAATAAATTAGAATGGAGACAATCCGCTGTACGTCGCTGCCATCTTGATTGATCATATCCGTTCCCTATTTTCCTTAAGCTTCAACTCCACTCTCAAATATGTCCCGTCCAGATATTTCTACGTCCATGACTTTTGCCCGATCAGTCGTAGATGTAACAGCGGAGATCGTAATGAAAGCGTGCTCGATGCGCGGGCTACGACGCGCTACGGACACGCACGCTCGGGGTAATCCCCATTGGTGTACGCGTGCTTGCAAATTACCCACGTATCCCGGCGGCTTCTCGTAATCGTTAAATAATGAATACTCAGGCGAAGGTCTCGGAGTAATTAGGTGGCCGACCATGTCGGCTTTCGCGGACGAAGTCTCATTGGGATGTTCGGGCGGCGAGATGCGAAGAGATGGAATTAATTTGCGTTTCCGGATATATAAAATATCGAGGATTTGGTGGAATCGTAACGCGCGAGAGAGCGATGGCGCCACGTCACGTCATTAGTTATGGATTAAGATCGCGGCGGCAATTTAGTTTCGGGACAAGGTAGACTAGGATTTACTGCGAGGGTTAGTACGGCGAGCAACTCGCGACGAGGGAGCCAATCAGACCGCAGCGCACCAAACTCGGCTGAAACATCGAGCTGAATTCCTTCCAAATACAACTACGGGCTTCCTATTCTGCCGGCGTAGGTGCGCACAAAGCTGTGTTGTATCTGTTTGATTGGTTTAAACGGCTCTCGTGTAACCACAACTGTACCAACTATCTGCGAAATGCCTTAACCGGATATATTGCCACGATCGAGTAGCACTCGCGCTCTCATCGATTCCCCGCGGCTTCGCCGGCCTTTCGTCGGTCTTTTCAAGGCCCGATCTCTTTTTCGAATTTAATTCCCGCCGATTGCCACGGAAAATTAACACGCTGACCCACCAGGATGGTTGTCGCTATGTTACTCTGCGCTTTATCAGATTATATGTCTAGTATCATTAATTGCATTCGCTACAACATTGGTACGTCCAATAAAGAGATAAAACGGGCTGAGAAAAGATACACACGAATTATATCCATGAGCGCATCTTTAGTAAAATTCAATTACGCTGGTTAACAGATAATTTGTCATATTTCAAAAATTCAAGAATCAATCAGTTTAAGTTTAATCCGAATAAAAAATTAAAGAATATAAATTTATTTATTTTTGGCAAAAATTATGTAAAATTATATATGTTAATAAAAAAAGTCAAAATATAGAACAAGATGTCTATTAATATTTACATAAATTTCGAAATCTATTATCAGTAACACATTAAAAATTCGTATGAAATAAATGCATTTGTGTATTTATTTTTTTGAATCTTTTAATTTAAAATATTTTTCAAATTTTTTTAGTTTTTTTTCTACTAATTTATGTGTGAAACTGAATGATGATAATGATAATAACAATAATAAGAATTGTAGTTATATTTCACAAAATTGTTACTCTGCTATAGTGGCTTTCCGGATTGTAATTCAGCGTAAAAATGTTACATAAATCGTATGATTTGATCCATGCAATAAAAGTCTTTTTGTAGACTAGTGTTATCAGTTGGACGTTTGTACGATCTATGGAAATCAACGCGGCAGTCAGCCTGACTCGCGTTAAATCTTTCGGTGTTTGATCGAAAGGGACGAACGGTGAGGTTAAACGTCGAGAGCCACCTGTGTCAATATCGCTGTTTTTATTAGACGTACATCTGCCCAGTATCACATCAATAAGCGTCATCAATTTATCCTTAATTTATCCTTAATTTCGTTCTACGTTGTTTTCAGTCAGAGATCGTTTCTCCGCGAGGAATAATCTCAAAACGTGCGACGTGCACGAGAGAACCACTTGTCATAATATTATTTTAACGCGTTAGTGTTATGACGAATAATTTGCTTTACGGCGAACTTACCACGTAGAGGGCCTCCAAGCAGCCGAGGAGCGTGACCATCTCGACGTTCTCGAAACGTTCATCGGGCAGCAGCACCAGAAGCGGCCGTCTCACACCAGCTTGTAACGCCCTGATGAACATGAAAGATCGTGAGATCAGTCACAAAAGCGACGGGGTTCGTTATTCGGACATATCATGATAATATCCGATCGCGGATCCCGCGGAAACGAGATCTTCTCAAGTGAGATGGTATTCCGGCTCAGCTGGAAGCGACACGTGTCCATGTGTGTGTGTATGTGATTCAAACGTGCGCGCCTATGATTCAACCGCACAGATGATATGAGCTAAACGTCGTACGATGCGCGAAGCAATATTTTCTCCTATTTGTCGGAAGATCTCGACGCCCTATCGTTCGTTAAAAGGAGAGATGTTAACAGGGAGGATCAAGTGGTCGGCTCTCCTGCTGACAGACTGATAGACGAAAGGAAGGCTGCCAATCTAAGAATCCGGCAAAGGATCAAGGCGGACCCTAGAGACGGGATTTGGACGTAGGAAAAGCATTTACCGGCGCGCATACAGGCCGCTCGAGGGCCAACTCGGCGGGAATTCGACCGTAATTATGGTGCGAACGTATCGTGGACGACGTCGATGGTGGGCGATCGTTGACGAATATCGCGAGAGCGAAATAGTATCGGTAGCGAGAAAGCCGACGCCGGGTACTACACATCCCGGCAGAACGGACATTGCAAAAAGAGATAGAAAAAGATATCGATAGATAGATTGATTGATTGATACATGGAGAGAATTTTATAATAAAAATACTATACAGCTTTGCAACAGAGGAATAGATCGACATCCTGCAGTAATTTATTTTCCTCTTATTTTTCATAAAAAAATAAACACTTCAGTTCATAAAATGTAAATAACACAAATAACTGAGAGCAAAAATATCTAAGGAATAGTAAACATTTTGTCGGTGTGCATGCAAATAATATATTTATTTGTGCCAATGTAAAATAATTTTCAAATAAGAAAATATATTTTCTTAAAGTGTACGTTTTCACAGTGTATGTGCTATTTATATTTTAGGACTTTAAATGTGTTATCAAAAACTCAATATGTTTCTAGCGAAATTTACTACACTTCTTAGCAAAAAAGACTTTAAAGACAGTTTGTTCTTGCACTACAAGAAACATAGTAAAATTAAGAAAAAACTGATAGTGTAGACTCTCGATCGTATAAAGAAAGCTATATCCTCTCTATGTAGATAGATTTATTACGCGTTTTGGGGAGATTTTTCTCAAATACATAAGAAGAGAAAAGTCATTAATAAAAAATTAGAAATGTTGCAGTGTAAAGACATTTAGATAGTATTAAATTGATGCAAACAGTTCGTGGTAATTGTAATCAAATAAAATAGAAAACAAAACTGTCCAATCTCGAAGGAATAGTTTTTACGAATAAAATGGACAACATCGACTCGAGCATTTTTAGACATCTAACGAGAACTTCCTATTTTCTTTTTGATATTCAAACGTTCTATGAGAATTTCACAGTAAAGTAACGAATCTTTTGCATCAATTTAATAGAGCTTTTAAGTGCGTTTAGATACTCTTTTAGACAACAGAGTTGCAGATGAAATAGTCTTAAATTTATCCAAGTTCCATGATACGTATCTCAACTACTAACAAGTAAACTTATCCAAAAGATACACTCCGATTTCTTTCTAATTTCACAAATGTGGAAGTACAAAAAATATTTAGATCATATTTTTTTATTTTGGCCCATTTTGAGTTTCACGAACAGTTTATAGTTTTTTAATTTTCTCACTCCTATCATCAACGAGTACAACAAAAATACATATTTAGCAGAATCTTTAGCAGAGATTTAACCGAAATATTTCAAATCTGTGTTAAATTAGTTAAAAATGGTTCGAATCTCGGCCAAACTGAGAAATTATTTGTATAATTAATTTTTTTCAACTTTTTATATGTTTCGTTTAAACATTTTATTATTTATACAAATAATTTAACACATTTCGCTTTATATTAATAATCAGCAAACCAAAAATGCCTATCTTGTATTCAATTTTATTTCTTATGCATTTTTGTTGCACTTGATAATAGGAGTGAGAACATTAAAAAGCTATAAACTGCCCGTGAAACTCAAAGTAAGCCAAAATGAAAAAATATGTCCTAAATATCTTTTGTACTTTTATACTTGTAGCAAATTAGAAAGAAATCGGAGTGTAATTTTTGAGTAGGTTTACTTGTAAGCTATTCTATAGATGGGAGAAAAGGTCTCTAAGAAAAAGCTTATATATTTCAGTTCGACAAATAGGAGAGAAAATGAAGACGAGAATGTGAGGGAGAGAAACAGAGAGAGAGAGAGAAAAGGAACAGACGCCCGGAGAAAGAAAGCTGCGGCTTTTATCGAGACACGAATCGGGCTATTCTCGTGAACCTTTCGCGCTGTCCAATTTTCGTGCTGTCTTGCGTAACACAGACGTAATCGCGCGGCCTCTTCTATTCTCGCGAAAATCACGAAGCCATCGATCGGTCTATCCTCGAATCTATCCTCGAAGTAGAATCGCTATCGTGTTTCAACACTTGCATGCGTGTGTACGTGCGTGCGCGATACCACGCGCTTAGAAATCTTAGGAACTACGTCGCCTTGTGCACGCTTAGGTCTCTGCGGTTCTCGAATTGTCCATTCTGGTTTTGGATTCTATCACGGACCGCCTGATTTGAGTTTCGTATTAATGTCGCATAGAATCGCTCGTATCCCGTTATTATTCTGCGATTCTGGAAGGATTACGGGAGTGCCGCGTTATTGCGCGGATGTGGAACGAAGGGACCGATGGCAATTTTGCCGGCTATGAACTTGCACATGGACAAGTTGCGAACATTTGAGAGAGAAACGTTTGTTACTTGCAACTACGATCGTATAATAACGAGCATATTGTCAGGTGGACGATTTTTTAGAAAAATATATATTTTCTCAATTGAGAGAAACTTTTCTCGATATAAAAATATGTATACTAGTATAAATACATAAATAAAAATAAATATGTTATTATAGTGTCCATCGAATAAGTATTTATTATTTTTTAGGTATTTCTTTCTTTCAGTGCATATTACTACTACTTTTTTGTTAGAAAGACAAGAAAATATAAACTGAGAAAAAAATTTTTTAATTTTTATTTTGGAGATATAAAATTTTTCTCTGTAAATAATGGATAATGGATAAAATAGGCCAATTCTGACTTAAAAAGTGTGACATCTATACATTTTATGTTTTTTGGGTCGCTGAATACGATGCTTTTCATACATCTAAATTCGAAGGAATAAAATTATAACTTGCAGTAAAGAAATCAAAATGTCACTTTTAATTCAATTAGTGACAGTTAACTATTACTATTAATTATTTAATTATTTATATTATAATTTAGTTTCATAACTTTTTCCAGTGACAATTAAGGGAACATTTCAAAATGAAAGACTTCAGAAATATTAAGTTTCCTTATAAGTTTTTTCTTTTCTAGAGATTACAACTTCTAGAATGAGCGGAAGTCATCAGACATTTTAGTATTCTTAAAACTGCATCCAATGTATGCAGATGTATGCATATCTGATGAGACTTAAGATTCTTTGAATAAGTAATTGAGTATATTTTTTTAATTTGTTCATATTCGCTATGTTAAATTTAATATTTCTGAAGTGTTTTATCTTAAAATATTTTCTTAGTTTTCAGTTAAAGAAAAAGTTATAAAACCAAATTATAATACAAGTAATTAAATAATTAAAACAATTATCATTACCATTACCATTAACATTACCATTAAACAAATTGCTATTAAAAGTGGTTTATTCTGATCCCTTTAAGGCGCGTGAATTTTGAACATTTTCCCACGAGTTTAAACGGATAAAAATATTACGATATAATTTATGTTACACAAACGAAAATCGGTCCTCATTGTCTTTTTTATATTCCACAAATAAATTTTCAAATATTTTTTTCTCAATGTAGTTGGTGTCGAAAATGACAATATAATTTTTTGAAATTAACTGTTCTCTTTTATGTCAGTAAACGATAAAAATCCTCGAGAACACAACCGCGTGTTCTTCTGAAAACAAGAGAAACGTTCTCTCGAGAAACGTAGACTCTGAGCGCTTGTTTGCTTATTCTTTGTTAGATTCTTTGCATTTTTGTTGTATTTCGATTCCGTTTTATCGTATTCGCGCCGTTTGTGTGCTTCGCGCGCATTTATTAATCATCGCATATATTTCCGATGCGAGGCGGAGCAGCGGGCGCGACGCTTATCTCGTTTATCGGGCGCCGCTGACGCCGTGCAGAACATTCGCCACTAATTCTGAACCCCGCGAGACATTTTTCATCATTAAGGAGTGAAACACTTCCAACATCGCAACGCGTTATTACGCGCGATCTCCGATCTCTTTTCTCTTTCTACTTTTTTTCTCGTTTAGAGAAAGAAGCGTTTCCCGCAACGATCTTCGTTACCATCGTATATTGTACGTTCAAAAACACGAAAAAAAATAAAAATAAAAACAAGGAGAATTGTACAACAACAACAACAACAACAACAGAATGGTCCCGTTAAACGAACGAGAATTTAATTTTTTTATTGGATTTCGCGAGACGACGAGCGCGCGGCTCGCGCGAAATTCCGTTCGCGCGTTGTCGCACGTTTTCTATCTATGCGACTATTCGAATAGATAAAACGTGCACATGCCTATGTATTTTGTAGACTCATTACCCTCGTTGTGAGCTTATAAGGTCACCAGCATGATAGGTCGATTCTTAGTGCGTTAATATGCGGGTGCTGAAAGACGCGAGATTCAGGATTGTGATATGCGATCGAGGGTCCGTTGATTAATTACGTCGGCGTACTGATCTCTTTTCGGTGAGAATTAAAGTAAGAGAGAGAGAGCGCTATTTATTAGATATTTTTGGAAAATATCTAATATATTAAATGCAGCAATGAGAAAGTAAAAATAAAATAAATTATTATGATATTTGTCAAAGGCTGAAATCGTTATAGCATGTATGAAATAAAAATAAAATGGAAATTGAAATAGAATTGAGATAAAGGGAATTACAGATTTGAAT